TGCTACGGGGGAGGCGCGCGCGTCCGCAGCTGCCGCGGCCCGAACCCGTAGGCAGCTCTGGGCTTGTAGGGGTTGGCGGCCATGGTCCGCCCTCCCAGGACCGGAAAATCAGCACCCTGTAACTGCTGTCGCACCATCTGCCAGGATGGTGCAGAGGAAGTCTTGGGGATTGATTCCTGCCTGTGCTGTAAAAACGTCCCAGACAGCTAAATATAGCCCCTAACGCCACATTTTGGGGTGACCGTGAGGCGGTAATTAGTCACAATTGATTATAATAATTAAGCACTTGCTCTTGTCGTCTGTAAACACAATCGAAGCGTACGTTTGCCGCTAAAAACTATGAAAGTGCCCCAGCTGGTTGATAAAGATCAACCTTAGTTTTGTAAAATTACGATTAAAAGAGAAAAGATTTTTACTTAAAAAAAAAAAAAAAAAGGTCGAAGGCCGTTTGAGTATACTACCCTAAAAGAAGATTCTTCTGAACCCCAGCTTGGATGAGTTGTTTTATTTGGGGGATCTAGTTTACACTTCTGTGTATTAACCTTCAAGGTAATTCGAAGTTTTGAGAAGTGAAGTGCGGATGTATTTTGAAAATGATAAATTAAGATGACAATAAAATCTGGAAGGCCAGTCGTTTTTAGCTATACTATATTAAAGGTGGTTTTTCTAATCCCTTGACCTAACAGGGCTTTTGGGTTTTATCAGGTTTTCTTTTCCTGTGAATCTGTAGCAATTCACCCAAGACTTAATGTGTTTTTTTGTTTGTTTTTGTTTTTTTGGTTATTTGAGACAGGGTCTCACTGTGTAGTTGAGACTGACCTAGAACTCACTGTGTAGCCCAGGCTGGTCTCAAACTCACAGCGATCCTCCTGCCTCAGCCTCCCAAGTGCTGGGATTACAGGCATGCACCACCACGCCTGGCTAGATTTAATGTGTTTTTATAGGAGGAGGATCGAGTTCTTCTAGGTGAAGCAGGCATTGAATACGAACAGTTTTCATTGGTTATACATTCTTAACGTATTTGTAAAATTCTACTAGAGATGACAACACTAGAATGTACAGCTGCTATGATCGGAACTGTCTCGTCGCTTGGTGCATTGAGGGCTTAATCTAAGTACAAGTGCAACCGTCTTAAACTTTTTTTAAAAAAATAGAACAGCCACGTGATAAAAACTTGTTTATTCAAAGGCTGTGACTTAGTCTCTAAACAGGAAGAAGAAATCATATTCTGAGTTAATGGCTATCAGCTTTATCTTAAACTTTCCTGGCTTCTGTCCAAGTTGTTAAAGCCTTAATGCTTTTTCAATACACTTTTCTTTTTAACTTCCTTGTTTTTCTGCCACTTCATTAAAACCCAAAGGTCAAGCTTTTGCAAAATAAATATTAACCATATAACAAATAAGTGACTACACGGGGTTTTTTTGTATGCACTTTCCCCTTACCTAGAAATTTGGGGCTTTTAAAATAAGTATTTAGGTATGGACTATGTGATGAAGAATATAAATACAATATCCTCACAAGTACACATATGAAGTAAGTTTATATGATTTCCTGGTATGACTGAAACAACCGAAGAATATGTGGCCACTGAGCAACCACACATATTTTTCGATTTTAAACTGTTTTTATTAGTCCATGTTTGCCGTACATAATGTTTACATTCATCTCGGAGTGGGTATATGTGCTTTGATTCTTTTTGTTCTTCCAACCCTCCCCCTCTCTAGATACCTTTCCCCTCCCCCCGTTTTCATTATTATTTTTTTAGTTCATGTGTGTGGCATGTAATGATTACATTTGTTGGAGTTGGTACATGTACATGGCACGTTTTAAATCTTTTATGTCCTCTTCCCCTCCCCCTCCACCTTTGGTCTTGATCCCCTTTGCATTTGAAAAAGCTCTATCTTCCCATTTCCTTCTGTCAGTCTTTTGTTTTGCTCTTTGTTTGTACTTTGAATTTCTCGTATGTAAGAAACCGTATGGTGTTTGGGATTGTGTGTCTGATTTATTTCACTTAACATGTTTTCAAGGTGCATCCATTTTCCTACAAATGTCTTAGATTTATCTTTTATAGCCAAGTAGTATTCCATTATGTATAGATACCACATTTTCTTTATCCATTCACATGTTGATAGACATAAAGGGTGCTTCCAAAATTTAGCTATTATGAATTGTGCTGCTATAAACATTGGTATGCATGTATTCCTGTAATATGATGTATTTAACTCTTGCAGGAAGATAGGTAAGAGGGGAATAGTGGGTGTTGATAGACATAAAGGGTGCTTCCAAAATTTAGCTATTATGAATTGTGCTGCTATAAACATTGGTATGCATGTATTCCTGTAATACGATGTATTTAACTCTTGCGGGAAGATAGGTAAGAGGGGAATAGTGGAGTCCAATGAAATTTCACTTTTTATTTTTTGGGAAATCTCCATACTGATTTCCATAGGAGGATTTCTTTTTCACCTCAGCTATGCCAGCACTTAAAATTCCTTTCTACCAAGAAAAACACAGTGAGCCATGCCAGTGCCAGTAGTTGTGGCCCCAACTACTCCAAGGCTGAGACAGGAGGATCATTTGAGCCAGGAGTTGAAGCCCAGCCTGGCCAGCATAGACCCCATGTCCAAATAAGAAAACAGAAAGAAAACCACAATAACTACTTTTTTTATTGAAAAGTTTATCTCTGCCTGAATTCATCATCTAGTGAGCATAACTTTTCAGTATTGAGCAGTCTTTTTTTTGTTTTGTTTTTTGAGACAGGGTCTCATTATGTACTCCAAACTGGAATCAGAATCCTCCCGCCTCACTTCCCAAGTGCTGGGATTACAGGCGCGGACCACCTTGCCCAGCTGGTAATCTCAGTAATAAAGCTGGTATTTTTTAAAAAATGATTAGGTTTAGGTTGGATGCAGAGACACATGTCTATAATCCAGCACTTGGGAGGCTGAAGCAGGATCGCTGCAAGTTCGAGACCAGCCTGGCTACATAGTGAGTTCAAGACCAGCCTAAACTACATAGCAAGACCCTGTCTCAAAAAAAGAGAAAAGATTGGGCTTTACTTTTGGCTTTAATTTTAAAAAGTAAATTGTAGGGAGCTGGGAATGTAGCTCAGTGGTGCAGCACCAACCTGGCCAGCTCAAGGTTCTGAGTTCGATCCCCAGTACTGAAAAAAAAAAAGTTAATTCCTTAATTTGTGCTACCAGTAAAATGACTTTTATAATACAGAGTCATTTAGAATACGTGCTCTCAAACTTGTTTAAGTGACAGAGCACCTGGTGGTATCCTTGCAGATTTAATTCTAACAAAAGAACCAAAAATAATTTTGTAATCAGAAAACATGTTGTGTATCTGTAGGTTTTTCAATTTCAATATAAAATAATACATTTAGAACCTAAAATAGATGAAGTAACACTTTGTACGTGTCAAGTTTAGTGAGAAGCATAAGTAGGCAAAACAGGGCAGTATGATGTTTGATGACTAATGATTTTTTTTTTCTCTTTAGGAGTTTGAGAATACCAGTAGCCAAGAGTTTCATAGCAAGGGAAAAAAGCACTGGAAAATTTTTTTTTTTCTGTGAAGGAAAAGATAGTATTCTTTTTCAGTTAGAGCAGTGTATTGCCTAGTCTAACATATTAAGATCTAAATGTTTCACCCTGTCTTTGTTTCTCTCACCAAAGTCTAATAGGCATATTGCTCATCTGATGTTCTAGTCTAGGATAATCATTACTTGTTACATTTCTAGCCAGATAACTAGAGGTTTTAGTTGGTTTTGAGTCTCTTCTGGTGGGTAAATATGATCTTGGTGATTGCATTAAGGAATTGGAAGCGTTACGGGCTGGGAGTGTAGCTCAGTGGTAAAGCAAGTGCTTAACCTGAACAGGGTTTGATCCCCAGCACCGCACACACAAAACAGGACATGCACACATGTGCGCACACAGAAGAAATTGGAAATGTTGATAACTGCCTGAAAACTGGACTTTAAATGTTGTCTTTGTAAAACTTGGCTTAAGAACTACTGCTCTAGAAGAGTACTTCATTTTGTGAAATTCTAAAAACTGATCATCAGGGGCTGGGGTGTGTGGCTTAGTTGTAGAGCATTTGGCTTAGCATGGGCATGATCCCTAGCACCAAAAAGAAAAAAGAAAAGTGGTCATCAGGTAGTTTGTGACGGAGTGAAATACCTGAAATGTGTAAAACCTGCTTGTTTTTATATAGTACTTTGTTATACAGTTTGCTGGTTAATTTTAAAATGAAGGATTTACTATGTTGCCATTATTTACTGAGTTTCCTTTTAAGTTGCTGTATATTTTTAAAGATAAATCTCTTGGTTGACGTTTTTTGTTTGGTCTGGGTTCTCCATCTGTGGTTACATCTGAGGACAACAATGGAGTATTGTAAAGCATGGCATCTGGCAATGCACTACTTAACTGCTTCCTAGTACAATATTTAGTCTTCAGAAGGCAATACTAATTAACCGTGATAGTAATCTCTTTTAGACGATTCCTTTATTCTGAAGGAAAAAGAAGCCTGTTTTAGTACAGCTACTCTGTAGATCAGTTGTTATTGTGTATCTTCTTCAGACTTTGTACCCTGACGTCTCTGTCTCTTGCCCTTACGATAGATAGATAGATAGATAGATAGATAGATAGATAGATGTTGGTAAGTATTACCTAGAAGTCCTGGAGAAGATGGCCAGGTGAATTACCTTGCCCTTTCTATGCCATAAGGTATAATATTAGACCAAATGAGTATTGAGAGACTCTATTTTAATTTTTGAAGAATTCTGTTTTATTATCAATCTTGGAATTCTTGTTTGGTTGCAGTCTTACCCCTACAGTCTAAATTTGAATCCAAATCCAATATTTGTAACTCCAATGTCAGACACAGAGTAGGCTCTGTACAAATGTTTTTTGAATGACCCAAATCCTTACATTGGCTTAGATCTTATTATTTGTTGAGAGAATATTTCCTTAGCCCAAAACATATAGTCCCTAACCTGACCAAATTGCAATATTCTTTACAAACAAGTTAGAATGAAGTCTGAAAGTAAGGAAACACATAAGGTGACATTTGTCTCATAATCGTTACACAGGTGTGGATCTAGAGATATGCTTGCATATAATTAAAAATCTGTAGTTTCTTTTTGGTTTGGGGATTAATTTTTGAATTTGCTAAAGTTGTTTAGAATTTGAGTTCTATTTATAGATTTCTGGTCCTAAAGTTGGAATTGCTTGTGTTTAAATACTGTTGCTATTCTGTGCACAACTCAGTTCTAGTTTTTTTTCTTAAGCATTCTTGTCTTTCCCTTCCACAAAAAGAAAGAAAAAGAATTGTGCTACATTAAGTGTGTTTTTATAGCAGATCTATAAGGCTCAACAAAGCAGAAGACATATTTATGTATTTAAAAATTATTTGATGAACTCAGATAATATATAGAAAATCTAGATAACTAAGGATTTGAAACCTGAATTTTTCTGAATTCTTAAGATTTATTTATTTTGATTTCATAATTATACAATACATAGTAACTAAATTGTTTACTTATGGTAATCTTGATAGACTCTTAGAATTATCTAATGGCACCGGATATCAATTTCCAGATATTCTTCAAATATCCAAAGTGGAATTATAGGATATGTATTTTTCTTAATCTCAGTGCCATATTTAGCTTGGTGTTAACATGAATATTTTACTTATTTTTTACTCAAGAAATCTTACTGTGGATAAAATACTCGTTGATTAGAAAACTAGTTTATATATAAAAAAACTAAAATTATTAATTTGCTTTAAGTGTTGGTCTTCTTGACTTTCTATGCAAAGTCAGTCAGAAACTACAGTTTATTAAGAACTTTTTACAACATATTAGTAAATAATGCCAACTGTGCTTAAACTGATTCATGTCTGATTTATATATTGCTATTCTCCATTTATTTTAGGTGTGGTTTATTAAGAACTTTTTACAACATATTAGTAAATAATGCCAACTGTGCTTAAACTGATTCATATCTGATTTATATATTGCTATTCTCCATTTATTTTAGGTGACATTAAGACAACACAAATACTTTGGCTGAAGCTTTGATTGAGCAAATGCTAGAAAGGTATACTTACAATATTTATAAACTATGAAAACATTGTTAGAAATTGTAAACTTTTTTTTTTTTTTAACTTTAACCATAGAACCCTTACACCAAGTGACAAGGAACAGTTAGTTCTAACCTTAAGATTATAAAGAAGCTGGGCATGGCCACATGCCTATAATCCCAGGACTCTGGGTAGTTGAGCCAGGAAGATCACAAATTCAAGCCCAGCCTAGCCAATTTAGCCCCTGGCTCAAAATTTTAAAAATTTAAAAAATCTTCATAGGAAGGCAATGTCACAGTCATTTCTTTTACTGCCTACCCACTCCTTTCTATTCCTTCCTGAGAGTCTCACTTCTGCATTTTTCTCCAGACTTCAAGATACCAAAATAGGTGATCTCTACTCATTTTTCTGGGACATAGGTCAAATACATGTAATTTCAAATCTACCTAGCAATCAGAAAGTAGGCCTACAGCATTTATGAGTTCCACAGTTGGAAATAAACCCTAGAGTATCTTTAGCAGGAAGTATCTTAAGTCATTCTTTTCAAGTGAGAGTGTGGCTCCAGGAATAAAGCTTCTGAAAAAACTAGGAAAACAAAGAAAGGAATACTAATTTTTCCTGACAACTGGGTATCTTTGGTAGCCAGTCAGTGACATGACAGTCTGATCATATTGTGCCCACTAACTCATCTAAATACATATTTTTTCATGTATGATCTCCTTTCCTACTGTATATGACTTCCTATGATTTTAACCAAAGAGAAATTTAGTTCTTAAAATATGGTATTTTGTTGTGCATTCTGAACACATTTTCAATTAAACAATGAGAAAATGCAATGTGTGGAAATACAGGCTTAATAGTATTTGAGGTAGGGGATTTAGCTCAGTGGCACCATATACCTGCCTAGCAAGTACAAGGTCCTGAGTTCAGTCCCCAGTACCAAAAAAAAAAAAATAGTATTTTATTGTTAGCACAAGCAGTTATATCTCTAGTTAAAGTCACAATTGCTTAAGTTTTTTGAACCTGAAATGCAATAAGAATTTAAATTAGATAAGCTAAATTTATTTATGTATTTTATTTTATTTATATATATTTTTGGTACCAGGGATCGAACTCGGGACCTTGCACTTACAAGGCAGGTGGTGGAACCACTGAGCTAAATCCCTGACCGTAGATAAGTTAAATTTAAAAATGAGTTTTTAAAAGAAAAATTGAATTCTCAATTTGAGAAGCTAACTTTGTGACTAATCCAGTCATAGTGTAAAACTAGTAAAGCAATGATTCAGATATGAGTTATACTACAGGTCACCACAGTTTGTTTATAATTATTGAATTGTTCCCATATACTTTAAAAGTACCAATAAACTCAATGAAAAAAAATAATAATTGTTCCCTCTTATTACTTGATGTATCACATAAATTTTCTCAACAACAAAAAATTGACATTTAGACAACAGTAATGATCTGTCTTGTCTTGCTTTGGAGAATAGATTCTTGTATATAAAAATATAACAGATAACTTCAAATTAATACCATATTTGGTACAGTATATGCTGCTGCCTACATATATGCAGGAGCTTGGAATTCAGAAGTGTTCTGTGCGCTGTAAGTAGGTTTTTAAGATTTAACCCATGCTTGTATGCACGTACATGTGAACACACACACACACACACACGCACAGACGGCTGCAACCCAAGAAGTTGGATGGCCTGCAGTGCAGCAAACGTAAACTTTTAAATTATCAGGGATGATACCGATTTTAAAACTAAACATTGGGTTGGGATAGGGCTGTGTGACCAAGACTGTGTTTAGCATACCGGAGACCCTGGGTTCAATCCCCTGCGTCAAAATCCACAACAAACAACGAGAACAAAATATTTTAAGCTCAGATATTTTTATTCACTTAGTGATTAAAATTAACAAAATGAAATGGAGCTTTGATTTGTTCTTTGGCAAATCTGTTCCTAAAATCTCCAAAGCTGCTAGAGTTGTTAGCTAATCCTTAAGAGTTCAGAAAGTATGTGGTAAAAAAAAAAAAGATTGTCTTTAGATCTGTTTTGTTTCAAGCTTCCATGGCTGCATCAGTCTTTTGATACACAGTTAGGACAGAGATTGAGCTCCTGCTAGTTAATCAAGCCTTTCCTGGTAGCTGTCCAAGAACTTCCTGATTTTTTTTCCAGAATTCTCAGAGAAGACCAAAGAGCATGATCCTCTCCAGTCATTTTAGGAGTTTTTAAAAATCTCAGCTTATTGCCTCTGAATCCCCACCTCAGGGTCTTAGATGAAAATACTGTATTACTTATTTCATTCTTATCTTCCATTCCATTTGACTGATAAAAGTGCCTCGGTTTTCTCTGACTTCACTTGCAGGAGGGAAGATGGGCTAGGGGATGGACCAGGTGTCTACAGAATGCAAGCATTTAAGAGTCCTTCAGATATCGTGCTCAGCTTCTCTCCCCTGAACGATTAGAATAGCCTGGTGTACATCTACTGGAGGAAAATCCTACCACCTAGACTTCAGGAAGATCGAGTGCTAGGCTATACAGGAAGAGGTTAAAAATATTAATAGAAGTGTAAGGGGACAGGTATGGCAGTGCACATGGCTGCGGCAGGAGGACTGTGAGCTCAAGACCAGCCTGGGCTACATAGCAACTTCAAGGGCAGGTTGGAAGCACAGCGAGACTCTGCCTTTAAAAAAGTAATAGTTGAAGGTGAACTGTGTTGTCTGTGCCATGGTGGCTTCTTGCCTATGATACCTTATATTGTTACGTATTTTTTTTTTGGCAAAATGCTCTGTTGCAGCTTTATTAAAGAACAAAACAAAATCCCAAAAAATTAATGTTTCTAAGCCCTAGGTCTAGCACAGTCTCTTGACAGACAACAGTAGGAATATAAATACTTACTGCTAGTGGTGGTGATTATAACCACATGGGTAAGAGCTGGAGATTAGCTCAGTGGTTCCTCCACATGCCTTGCAAGCACAAGGATCCAAGTTTGATCCCCAGTACCCACCCCCAAAAAAATCTAGTAACCACATGGGTAAACAGTGAGGGAATCCGTGAAAGTTGATATATTTAGTGAATATCACAATAAGGATCGCAAGTTCAAGCCTATGCTGGGCAATTTAGTGAAAGACCCTGCTTCAAAATAAGATATATAAAAGGGCTGGAGATGTTGCTCAGTGAGAAAGCCCTGTTTTGGGGGTTTTGTTTGTTTGTTTTGTTTTGCCAGTAAAAAAAAGTGAGGAAAAATGACATAATAATATGGAAAAGAATATATAATAAAGCTCTTGCTTTTTTTTTTTTTTTTGTACCTGGGATCGAACTCCAGTCTTTGTGCTTGCAGGGCAGGCAGCAGAACCACTGAGATAGATCCCCAGCCCTCCCTGGCCCTGTTCTTGATTTTTTATCACATTTTCTTTGTGCACCTAAGGAATTTTTTTTTTTTGGTGACAGGGTCTCACTACATAGTTGAAACTGACCTGGAACTCACTGTGTAGCCCAGGCTAGTCTCAAACTCACAGCAATCCTCCTGCCTCAGCCTCCCGAGTGCTGGGATTACAGGCGTGCACCACCACGCCCGGCTTACCTAAGGATTTTTTTTAAAATTGGATATAATTTAATATGCGATCAAATATACAAAATACTGTACAGTCTTAAGATTGTTAGCTCTCAAGTCCCAGTTTTATTTGTGGCTTGTGAGTATAAGATGACATCCCATTTTATGGATTATCCATGACATTTAGCTACCTTCTTGTTGCTGCCATTGCTGATATATTTCAGGAACAAGCTGGGACTTTCAGAAGGGATTGCAAATGAGATTCTAAAAATATGGAATAGCTGAGGATTACTTTAAGAACACAAACCAATTATATATATGTTGGATCATGTATCACCTTCGAGAAATGTACAGAGTGGGAGTAGAGTGCCCTTAAAATTAACATCAGACAATTGATATCTATAGCAAAATGCCTAAAATCCATTGGTTACTTATTTATAGTAGTCTCCGCAGGCTTGGAGGATTTTCTTGTATTAGTGAAAGGAAGCAAGGCCTAGATAACATGCTTTTTAAAAAATCTCTATTACCTATTTGTAATGGGAATATGGGGGAAGTAGAGAGGGTAAATAAAGCACTTAATTTTTGGCATATATACCTCCTATTTTCTATTCCTGGGTGCACTAATATACATATTTTTCTTTTAGCAGATGTTTTATGGTCTACTTTTTCATTTACTATCTGGCTAATACTTCTTCATACACTCTCATTTCCCTAATCTATTGTAGGGCCTTAAGTATTTTCTACTAATACAACATTGAATATATCTATAGATAAATCTTTCCATATATTCCTGATTATTTTCTTGGGGAGAGATTGCTAGAAAGAGACACTAGTCAAACAGTACACATATTTTTAAAGTCTGTTGATGCAGCTAAATTCATTTATAGCAGTGCTATATTAAGTTAAAAGTTTTTTAGAATTCTGCCTAGTCAAATTTTGTCTTACATCTTTCTGATTAATCTTTGAAAGTTGGTAAATAAAATGAAACCCAGCTATATAAAAGGAAGATGGAAGGTTATTAGAAGCTTAAAATACATACGGTATCCTTTCAAACCGGGAACTTCAGAAATGCTATTACAAATTACCCCAATGTTCTAATAATGCAAATGCTAGTTTTTCTTCATTAACTTTTAATAAAATAGTACCCTGAACCTTATGTGAACTATATTAATTGTAACTGTTGTATTTATATCCAAAAAATTATGTAACTTTTTAATCCCCTTCCCCCTCAAACCCCCTCCCCTCACCATGTACAAAATTTTGTAACTTAAATACTGAATTTTTTACACAAAAACTTACATTTTTTTTTTAAATTTTAGCCACATAAAGAAGATCCTTGACAGCCATTTCACAACAATTATATAGTCAACTGATGTAACAATGGTACTAATATTGGGACGCAGACTAAACAGAGAGGATCTTGGGGTGCGTGATTCCCCAGCAACTAAGCGTAAAGTTTTTGAAATGGACCCTAAATCTCTGACAGGCCGTGAGTTTTTTGACTTCTCTTCAGGATCATCCCATGCCGAAAACATACTCCAGATATTTAATGAATTCCGAGACAGCCGCTTATTCACAGATGTGATCATTTGTGTGGAAGGAAAAGAATTTCCTTGCCACAGAGCTGTTCTCTCAGCCTGCAGTAGCTACTTCAGAGCTATGTTTTGTAATGACCACAGGGAGAGCCGAGAAATGTTGGTTGAAATCAATGGTATTTTAGCTGAAGCTATGGAATGTTTTTTGCAGTATGTTTATACTGGAAAAGTGAAGATCACTACAGAGAATGTCCAGTATCTCTTTGAAACCTCCAGCCTCTTTCAGATTGGTGTTCTCCGGGATGCATGCGCCAAGTTCTTAGAGGAGCAACTTGATCCCTGTAACTGTTTGGGAATCCAGCGCTTTGCTGACACCCATTCCCTCAAAACGCTCTTCACAAAATGCAAAACCTTTGCGTTACAGACTTTTGAGGATGTGTCCCAGCATGAGGAATTTCTTGAGCTTGACAAAGATGAACTCATTGACTATATTTGTAGCGATGAACTTGTTATTGGTAAAGAGGAGATGGTTTTTGAAGCCGTCATGCGGTGGGTCTATCGTGCTGTTGATCTGCGAAGACCACTGTTGCACGAGCTCCTGACACATGTGAGACTCCCTCTGCTGCATCCCAACTACTTCGTTCAAACCGTTGAGGTGGACCAGTTGATCCAGAATTCTCCCGAGTGTTACCAGTTGTTGCATGAAGCAAGACGGTATTATATACTCGGGAATGAAATGATGTCCCCAAGGACAAGGCCACGCAGGTGAGAGGACTGTTTACAAGTTGCTACTTTTTATCATTTCTTTATCTTTTTCTCTATTAAAAAGCTAATATGTGTTAAGCCGGGCGTGGTGGCACATACCTGTAATCCCAGCACTCTGGAGGCTAAGGCAGGAGGATCGCTGCGAGTTCGAGACCAGCCTGGGCTACATAGTGAGCTCCAGGTCAGTCTCAACTACATAGTGATCCCTGTCTCAAAAAAACAGACAAACAAACAAAAAACTAATATGTGCTTGCAAAACAAATAGCATTCATTGTGGGTAATTGGTACATACACATCCAAAAGTTGTTTTGAAATAGTTTTATAATTCTTGAGTCCTATTGTAGTGACGTCATTTATGTGTTTAGTTTACATGTAGCCTTTTACAATTTGAGGCTTTTTTGGGGTTATGCAAATCATGAGAATGAAGGCTGTAGTGAAGACTAGATTCAACAGTGATTTTTCTCGTTATTGTTGTTCTATCAAAGGCTTTGTGACTACATGCCTCAGCACACTTCACTTTTCTTTCCAGCGGATCGTTGGGTGCAGAGTTAGCCACTTTAGAGAGGCTCTCTTAGACTACCTGTACTTGGTAAATTTATGTTTGAGGTAGAATGCAATTATTCGTATATTTCTTGCAGTAGATTATTTCTGTAAAATGCCTGTAGATTTTAATTTATAACTATATAAAGATAATCTTCCATGCCTACATAACAAAAGAATAATGTTAATTTTATTGTGAATGACAAATGCATATTTTGAGTATTACGATGAAGAATTTAAATATATTTCTGACAGCTAAAGTTGCTGTTGGTTTTTTGTTCTTTTAAGTTGTAAAAAAACCACAGAATTTACCATCTTACCTACTTTTAATTACACACCCAAGTAGTGTTAAATATATCCACGTTGTTGTAAAGATAGTGTTTATTTTTCCATAACATCTCCATTTTTATATAAATTTACTATAGCATTGGTCAAAAAAACTACATTTTATTCTTTGAATAGGAGTGTTACTTTTTTATGTGATTAAAATTCTTCATTGTGAGGTAGTTTGTCTTTAAAAGTCTAAACTAGTATACTTGTAGTAAAATGAGGATAGTGTTTATTTCCTTAAAACTATAAAGGCAATAATCTTTAAGTACCAGCATATATAGAGAGTACCTAATAATTATGAGCTATTATTATGTATGTAGTATAAGGTAGGTCTCACCCACTTTAAGAAAACTTCAGTATTTGAAAGTCTGATCTTTTTAAACATTAGATACAATATTGGGTAACTGGTATTACAACAAATTGATGTAATTCTTTGTATTAGAATACATTGTTCTTTAATTATCTGAGTGTAGTTAAAAGTAGTAGTCTTTGGGCTGGGTGGATGTAGCTCAGTGGCACTGTGCCTGCCTAACAAGCATAAGGTCCTGAGTTCGATCCTCAATACAATAATAATAATAATAATAGTCTTAAAAGAAACATTGATAATTTTACTTCCAGCCTTTCAATAAAAGACAGAAATCATGATTTTATTCTATAAATGCACTGATTTTTTTTTTTTTAAGGACATTCAGCTGATTTTAAGAAATTGGGAAGACCAAGGTTCCTGAATGTATTCATTAAAAAAGCCAGGTAGCCTCAGGACAGTGTGATTACCTCTCAGACTTTTTTGGACACAAAATGTCCCTACAAAGGGAGAATTTTCCAAGCAGAATCCTCTTGTAGTAGACAAAATGTTCTGGGGTCAAATGGGGCTAATTAATAAACCTATCTTGCATAGCTCCTGGTATTAGCCTAAGGACCAGTGGTTATAGGTTGTAACATCAAGTAAGTTAATTGTGAATATTACTTATAAAAACATGACCTGAGTAAAATCAGATTACAGTCTCAGTGCCCATCCACTACTTTAAGGATGTAATTTTCCTAATTCACATAATTAGTTGATTTCCAAAAATGTATTTTATATGCCATTTTAAGGGAACCAATTCACTTTGCACAGTGAAACACATAGCATCACCTTTCTTTAGGACACCAGTAGGAAAAACCAAACTATAGTCATATTGAAGTTTTAGGCCACCATAAATATAATAGCAGTATTTATGTAGGCATTAAATAAGGGTTATAACTCTGCCATCACCTTTTGACCCTGAGCATTTTTTCACTTGTGTGTTCCTGCTTATTGGCCTCAATTCCTAAACATGTCACCCTCTGAGCAGCGTGTATTGTCTGTGCAGGTTTTCATCTTCCTTCTTTGAATGAGGAGTGAGGTCTCCACTTCTTCAACCACAGTTCCTTCCTCTGGCCTCTGCTCCAGTCACTGCTAAAACTCCTCTAAGGCTGGTCATCACTGACCTCCTGTTTTTTTATTTGCCAGTCTTTTTCTCCTATCCAACCCTAACCCTAACCCTAAGTTTTGACAGTATTAATTGCCTTATCCCTCTTGAAACGCCTCCATTGGCTTCTGGAATACTGTTCTCATGGTCCCCCTGTTTCTCCAGCTGCTCTTTTTCAATGTGATAGTTCTTACTCCCATATCTAGTCTTTGAAGTGGAGATTATCTGTTTGGCTTGCTTCTGTCTTGCCTTATATAGGTGATCTCATCTCGTCTAGTCTCGTGGTTTAATTACCCTACATGCTATTAACTACCAAACCTGTGTCTCCAGCCCAGTCCTTTCTCTTTCATTTGTTCGTTCACATTTTTAAATGTTTACATATTTTTACTTTATTACTTTTATTTTTTACTTGTATGTTTCTTTTTAATTTTACATGTATTTTTATTACTTCAGTGTTTATCTTTTTAAATAACAGGCAAAAGAACATTATTACAACTAAAGTTAATATTATCCCTTAAAATGGGATATATTATCCCATATTCAATCCCTATTCAGATCTTTTTCAAACTGTCCTTTAGTAGACCTGGATCCGATTTAGGATCACTCATTACATCTAGGAATTCCCAGAAAATTCTTTTTTTTTTTTAATTGAGTTTATTGGTACTTTTTAAGTACACAGTACAGTTACATTCATCATTGGGATCTTGTACCTTTACATGATATGTCTTGGTTCTTATTTTTCCCCCCATACCGCTGCCCTCCCTTCACTCCCTCCACCCTCCCCTATTTACAAAGACTTTCTTTCCATTTTTTCCTTTTCTTGTATTATTTTCTTTTCCAGGAAATTCTCTCTAATTCTTAAACAATTCTTTTTCAAGATTCTGTTTTTTGATGGAAAAGTTGTCCAGAAAAATGTTCTACTTTCTGGATTAGTCCATAAGGAAGGAACCTTATAGTGTTATTTAGATACATTTCCTGGAATTGAAAGTTGGCTGTAAGAGCTTCATTTTGAAGTATACTAGTTAAACATTTGTGGCTAGAATTCATCCTACATAATGTTCACATATTGTATCATATTAGGAGACACAGCATATCCAGTCATCTTTCCATTAATGATGCAAAATTTAACTGGAAAAGGGTGGTGACAATTTGATCCCTTCTGCCACCATACTAAGTTAACATTTCCTACATTGGCCAGTACTTTTTTAGTGTTTATCCTATGCCAAGTACTCACCAGTGCTCCAGCTATACTGGGTGCTCCACCTCTATTATACCTGTCTTTTTTGTTTTTGTCTGTACCAGGGATTGAACTCTGGTCCTTGCGCTTGCAAACCATTGAGCCAAATCCCTGGCCCTATGCCCATGTTTTTTGGACGATAGAGAAAGCCCCAGAATGTACTCTGTAAAAAAACTGTGTAAAAAAGAGTTGTGATGGAAGTTCCTTAATAAAAAGCCAGTCTAAGCACAAAAGCTTTGATAATCAGCCAGATATCATGGTGCACACCTGTAATCCCTGCATTTGGGAGGCTGAGGCAGGAGGATCACTACAAATTCAAGGCAAGCCTGGTCTACATAGTGAGACCCTGGTTTGCTCAAGTTAAAGAAATAAGTAAATAGGATGGGGATTTAGCTCAGTGATTTTGGCGCCTGCCTTGCAAGTGCAAGGTCCTGAGTTCGATCCCTGGTACCAAAAAAAAAAAAAAGTAAATAAATAGGCAGGCAAGCAAGCAGATAAGTAAAACAACAAGCAAACAAGCTTTGTTAATCTGCCAGGTTAGATGTAAAGTCTCGGTTAGACTGAGAAAAGCGAATCACAGAAGAGAATAAAGCTTAGAAGCTATTGTTATATTTCTAACAATATATATTTTGCAACTATAAATCTTTGTCCTGGTACATACTACTATTTTTAGTAAACAGTGCAAGCATCGCAATGCGTTCAGAGTACTGGCTTCAGAATCAGATAGGCTTTCAAATCTGACTCTGTACAGATAGTTAATCCCATGATTTTGGACATAACTTCTCTCTGTATCAGTCTCGTCCTCTGTAGCACACAGAGCCTAGCATTTGACACAGAAATTTGTAATGAAAGATTATAGATGGTTTCATGAAGAAAATTGTTAATGTTTTAAATTTGGTCTATACATTTACCATCCAGGAAATGGAGTCTGAGAGATAGAAATACTTGCTATCAGATGCTTTATTTTAGGGGCTGGGGATAAAATTCAATGGTAGTTCACTTGCCTGGCGTGTGTAAGGCCCTGCGTTCAATCCCCACCACTGCAAAAAAGAAACAGTTATTTTAGACATGATTTTTAAGAATTAATAAGCTGTGCATCTGTTCCAGTATGTTTTTCTCAAAGCTTATTTTCCAATTGTTCTAATTTAAGAACTGAATGCTATGTGTGACACAAAGATACCTACTTTGCTGTTCCATTAAAAATAATAGTCACTCCGATCTAGGAAGTGCACATACGATTACACGTGTTAGCTCATCAATACTCCGAACAGTCCTGAGTATTAGTGCAGTTGTTACAGCCCCTTTCCAGATGAGCAAACAGGCTTGAGGAGTAACTCATTCGAGGTCACATCACCTGGCAAGTGGTAAGGCAAAGCTTCAAAAAATCAGGTGCTCTGGCTACAGAGTTCATACTCCTGACCAGGGCAGGCACTGCCTCTGCTGTACTTTCTGAATATTGGTATTTTTAAAACAAATTTTGTTTTATCCCTATCCCATTCCTCCCTCAAGTCCCCTCCCCTCCCGACACACAAAAGCTTTGTTTCCATTTTTTCCTTCTATTTTCACTTTTTTTCTTGTCCCTCCCTCCTTTGTTCCCCTTCCCATTTGAACACTTCCTTCCCATTTCCCAACATCCATTGCAATTTCACTCCTTATTTCCACTCTCGGTTTCTCACACTACAGAAACAGCGTGGTATTTAAACACGTGTGTCTCATTGATTTCACTAAGAATACAGTCTCAGGGTCCATCCATTTATCTGTAGATGTCTCAGACTCGTCCTTCTTTAGGCAGAGTAGTACTCATTTGTATTTAAAAAAAAAACACATCTTTATCCACTTGTCAGTTGATGGGCATTAGGGCTGTTTCCAAGCTTTAGCTATTACACACTGTGCTGCTATAAACATGGGTGTGCATATATCTCTGTGGTATTATGCTTTTAATTTTTTCGGGAAGGTACCAAGAATAGGTGTAGCTGGGTCAAGTAGAACCTCTAGTTTTTGTTTCTTGAGGAATCTGCACAGTGAGTGCACCAGTCTAGACATTCCTACCACCAGTGGAGAAACGTTGCTTTTTCCCCACTGACCCTCCAGCATTTATTATTGGTTGATTTATTGATAGCAGCCATTCTTTCTGGAATGAGATGGAATCTCAGCATTGTTTTAATTTTCATTTTACAAATGACCAGTGATGTTGACCATTTTTTCTGATTATTAGTATTTTTAAGGCATTTTTTAAAAATGCTTTTTATTTTATAGCAGATTATTACTAGGCTTTTATTTAGTGCCCCTTTTTTGGATTGGGGGGCTTGAGACAGGGTCTCACTGTATATTCTGGGTTGGCCTTAAACTCACAGTGGTCTTCCTGCCTCAACCTCCCAAGTGCTGGAACTACAGGCGTGCACCACCACACCCAGTCCTAGCATTCCTAATTTTCCTTCCTTTTCCTACTCTCCCTCCTGTAGCCCTCTGAGGAATCCCCTAACAGATTGGAAACTTGTTTCCAAGTCAAAAGTTTAATATTTCTGTAGAAATCATTTGAAGAGGGAAAATTCTTATTAGTGTGTACATGTTTAGACTCAGGACCACTTTGAACTCCTTGAGAATGATAAAGGAGCCAACTGAACCAGTGCTTAAATTTTCTCTAATATTTGAGTTGCATCTGAGCCTTCTGTACACTGCTAGGTTTCCAACCATTTTCACCTGGAGAAAATGACAGCTTTGCTAGGGATGGGCTCTCTTTCTTGGCCTTGGCCCAATTCATGAGTCTTAACTGTGGTAGTAATTGTACCTGCTTCTAATGTTTCATGATCCTGACCATGGCTTGGTAATCTGATTCAGATCTCTGATGCACTTCATTTTCATTCCTGCCCCAGAACAAATACTGATTTCCATGTTTCCCATTCCATCCTGAATACCAGATTTTAATCTTCTGATTGCTTGGTAGACAGGTTCTGATTGCATCAGTCCCAATCCAGGTTGTCCGTACTGTAATGATTTTCTGGAAAGAGTTATTAACCCTGATGCTAATTTCAATTCTGTCTACGAAATGAGCTTCCCAATAGAAACATAGATGGCACTAAGCTGGACTTCCAAAATACTGACCATACATGGCAAATTGTCCTCCCCTCCTCCCCTCCTCTTTCCCTCAGTGCTGGTGATTGAACCTAGGCCTTTTGCATGCTGGGCAAACATTCTTAGCACTGAGATACACCCCCAGCCCGGTTTCTGATTGTTTTAATGTTAAGGTGACATCTTGTGGCTCAGGATTCAAGCACATCTATGATTAGTTCCTGATGATCATTTCTGGTTTTAAAAAACACTTTGAGTCTTTGATGAGTACTGCTATTTCCTCATAAAAAGCATTCTACTCTTGCAGTTTCCAGTGCAAAGCCTGACCCCACAAGGTGCTGCTGTGTCTTTAACAGGTTTAAAAAGTAAAATAGGTCAGCCTAGGGGGCAGACTTAACATTAGCTATGATAGGCTGATTAATTCATTGACCTCAGCCTCCATAAGTCTGTTCACAGGAAGAAGTGTAACTGCCAAGCAAAGTAGGTATTTAAGACTTTCCACCCAGCATATTCTCTTCCTGGAGGCTGGTCACCACATGGGAAGACAGAGTATTCAAAGGCTGGCTGGCAGACGTGGCAGCTAAGCAAGGAGTTAGTAGATCTTTAAAACTGAGTCCTCTTTGCTAGTATAGCTTGAGGATGTCTCATTCATTTCCTAAAGAACCAGTAAAGTTCACTTCACGTCAGCACAGCTAGGATTCTCTCCCTTAGTAACTTGAATGGGCACAGCAAATGTTTACCTCTGTGGTTATTAATTCTCATTCATTTACTTCTGCTTCTGGGGCTGACCAGTCCCCTCTTCTGATATATATAGTTCTTTATTTAGATAAATTAGTGCATGGAATTTGGTAATATAGACTAGAGAGCCATTCTGTCTCTTTAAGGCTTAAAAATCTCATATCTCTGTTTTAGTTCAGGGTTTTTAGTTTAATGGTCTGATTTTCAGATATTTTTTAGTTTTACATGCTGAATAGACTATATCACAAATATCTCTTTCCACTTTCCCACTGCATAGGAGAACACTTCCTTTCCCTGTGTGTGTGTGTGTGTTTTGAGAGAGAGAGAGAATATGTTTACTTATTGACCAGGATCACTCCAGTGCTTCTTGTTGAGAGTTCACTGGTCTCAGGCATATCTGTTGTTCTTAAGTAGGTCTGTTATTTCAATCAGAAATTCCTGTATTTCACCCTTTGAGATTCTTAACTGAGTCAGGTAATTATTACATGTTTTGTATTGATTTGGTTTAGAATGTTCTGTGGATTTATAATTACTTTACATATAAATCAAAGAATGTGATCTTTTCTCAAAACTATGACAAGAGAAAAAATTTTAAATATATCTCCATTGTAAAAAGGACAGTTTGGATGTCATATTTTCGTAGGAAACAAATGGTGAAACTAGAGCTGAAAATATTTATTTCATTATAGCAGAAAATCAGAATTTTTACTTTAAAGAATTAGTGAAATAGAATAAATCTGGCCTAGAGCCCAGTGTGGTGGCACATACCTGTAATCCCAATACTTGGGAGGTTGAGGCAGGAGGATCGCCATGAGTTTGAGGCCAGCCTGGGCTACGTAGCAAGTTCAGGGCCAGCCTGAACTATGAAGGGAGGGGAAAAAAAAGGGAATAAATCTGGCCTAAAATAACATGGGCATCTAGAATTTTATGTACGTTACTGTCATTACTTGACTGCCTTTGGCTCTCTATTTTTATCATCAGCTGTAATGACTGTTTCCTTTAGGATGCTCAGCTCTCAGTACTTTCCACACTGAAATAAGTGTCTTGTGAGCTGGGAGTGTAGATCAGCAATGCAGTACTTGCCTGGCATATGCAGAACCCTAGGTTTCAGCTCCAGCAACACACAAAAAAATTAAGTTTAAAAAATACATAAATGTTTTGGATGTAAGTCTCTAAGCAGAACACCAGACTTGCATCAATTAAGTTAAAAGGCATTTGATTGCAAACAGGACCCTCTATACAAACAAAACTATTGCATTGCTTTAATCCTTTCAGATAAATACACATTCTAGTGGATCCTTTTGGTTAGTGAAGCTAAATGTTTCAGCCATTGGCTTTTCATGCTGTTTTCTCTGTTATAAGACATAAAAATAGTGTTTATTGGACCAAGAAGTCTTAAAAAAGAAATTTAAGACAAAAAGTTCAAAAGGGAAAGTAGAGAACAAATAAAATGCTATAAAAGAAATACAACATAAAATGTTATATAATATTTATTCTGGCACTTATATTAAAACAGTTAGAAATGGTTTAGCAATATTAGCAATCATATTTAGCAGTTTATTAGTACTATTAAAGTATCTAGTGCTGTTCTATTTTTAATTTTTTGTTTTGTAATTATTTGGAAAATATTAAATATTATTGAAAATATTTTAGTGTTAATGTTTTATTATGTAGTAGATTAGTGTTATATGATTTGCTGGTTCCCCAAAAATAATTTTTTGTTAACACATGTGACCAAAATTCTTTTCTACATTATGTATTTCTGATCTGGCGGCAAAAAAAGTGTGCCTAGCATGGAATAAGTGAATGATTGGAGAAGTTGACATTATTCTAACTAAATATAACTAGAACAGAACAGCCCTGGTAAAGGAGACATGCCAATATTGCTTATTTTGTTTGTTTTCTAGTATAAACATTAGCATCACTGTTTATAACTTGCTGTTGTGATGTCTTTTTCCCCCTACATTTAAGAGAAGAGTGATTGTTGACATCTTTTATGAGACTTATAAAAAAATTATAAGACTTTTTTCATTTAGATCATATTTGGGAAAAAATATAAAGCCAAAGAAATTTTAAATTACACAACTGTTGAACTCTGTATTTTAAAATTTATATTTGAGTTATATATATATATATATATATATATTCCATTAAAGAGTGCTTAGGTTATACTTTGAATTAGTTTCTTAAAATTGACAGCTTAATGAAAAGACAGCATTTTCTTACCCCTAGAAAAAGTACATCACCTCTCCTTGTGTAGTTAGTGTGACTGCACCGCTTCATATCTCCATTGACACCACCCTGCCTATCAGCAGTGTTCCAGTCAAGTTAGGTAGGTTCTTTGCACTGCTTTATAACTTTTGTGTTAAACCCACAGGGGGAAAAGCCTATATACATTGTCTGTGGAAGAATAATGTCACTGACTCCTCTGGGAATGTTCTCAAAGGAAGTAATTGCCAGCCTGTGCTAATTGGCACATGCCCAGAAAATAAACTGAGCTCTTTGTGGTAGGCTGTGGTTTATTCTTAGGGTTTTAAACTATCTTAAGTGTATTTTAATTTGTTATTTATTATTACTTGTACACTTTTAAAATAATTATTTTAGGTCCACTGGCTATTCAGAGGTGATAGTTGTTGTTGGAGGCTGTGAACGAGTTGGAGGATTTAATCTTCCGTACACTGAGTGCTATGATCCTGTAACAGGAGAATGGAAGTCTTTGGCTAAGCTTCCAGAATTCACCAAATCAGAGTATGCGGTCTGTGCTCTAAGGAATGATATTCTTGTTTCAGGTAAATAAAAAAATTACTACAATAGCTACTTTTGATATGGGCACAGCTTGGCTGTTTTAAACAACAGTGTCTTAAAATAGTGAAACATGAATACACTTACTGATAAAGGCAAAGGCGTTTATATCACACATAAAACTGAGAGTGACTTTTTGCTCTTAAAAACAGGTACAAGTTCACACGGAATGTTCCACCAGAAAATAAATGCCTTTAGCCATATCATACTTTAAAAGTTCCCAAAAGTATTTAGAATATGATACAGTGTTTTAAACTTTTATGTTTTTACTTTGTTTTAAGGATTGCTGTAAAGTAATGAAAAGTCAGAAGTACTCATAGAATTAAGCATCTCTAATTTTCCATGTTTTCTGAAATTCTCTCCCAAGTTTATAAACTAGGATAGTCTGTAAAAATTTTAATTTTGTCTGTGATATGTTGCTTTCAAGTCACACAGAAAATAAAGTTACAGACTTATACACTGTGTATAAGTGTAGCATTTATGCTTGAAACTGTTAATTGGCAAAATAAATTCACCAACTTTGCAGATTACATCACCACAACTGAATGACACAACTCATGCCTCATTTTGGGTAGTCGTGTGGTTTTGAGAAAAGTCTTCAGAATAATCATGTTGTTTGAGGTCTTCTGATTAATATCTGACTCCTAAATTAACAGTGTTTTGTATTTGTAAAACTCACATTCTGGTTTTTTAGTATTTCAAGCCTTTGATCATTACTTCTCAAGATAACAATAGCAAAGTTTAAATGTACTCTGTGGAACTATTTCCATTAAGTTGTAAAAGGATCCTCATTTGACTTATTGAACTGAATTCTCAAATTCATAAGTTAGTAAATTCCATGTTTTCGGGGACTTTATGTTGATGTCTTAGATCCCTTGGTGACAGATACAGTGATATATCATTGCGTGTGCATTGTTTTGCATTAAGGTGGAAGAATCAATAGCCGTGATGTCTGGATTTATCACTCACAGTTAAATACTTGGACCAGAGTTGCCTCTCTAAATAAAGGCAGATGGCGTCACAAAATGGCTGTCCTCCTTGGTAAAGTAAGAGAAACCACCTTTTATTACTATCGCTGGTTTATATTTCCAAAATAAATACCCAGCTAAATCCTGCATTTCACTTATCCTCTGGGTATTTTGGATTTGAGTTGTATTTCCATCCATTCCTAACCATAGTAGATAAACTGAAGGTATAAACAATATGACACTGTACTTTTGAGTGAATATTTTGTTCTCTCTATTTGGAATTCGTGGCAGTGAGCACCTTTCTTTTCTCATACACCATTAGAGTCCAAATGCCTAAAAAGAATTGGAAAAGAAAAGAGTTGCATAAAAAGTAGGCCAATGTCTAATCCAAGCCTTTGGCAGTCCGAGATACATTTATCTAAAGTGGTGTTATTTTATATATTTTTTAACTGCACAAATAGAAACAAAACAAATTAAAAATAAATGTTAAGATAAACTCACCGGTATAATGAAGAAAATATATTATTGATTAAAGCAAATTCATATTAAAATGCATATAATTTGGGTTCTGAACCATTTACTGTCCTTGCTAACCTGAGAGTCATCTAGGACTAGTGGTTGCCAGACTTTTTAATAGCATTGGAACCCTCTTTTAAAAGTTAAGTGTAATACAAAAATCCATTTTATTAAACAGATAGAGATACAGCATTTGGCCAAGGAATAGCTCAATCATTGGGCCTCTCCCTGCCACCATCACTTTCAGGTTCAAGAGACACTGAAACTTACTGAACAATTTGAGTGAAAGCAACATTCTAGACTGAATATATGTATATGTGTGTATATATATATATATGCATGCATTATTGGTTCCCTCGCACCCCTTTCTGAAAATATTGTTGTGTCTTTGGCCCTACTGTGAGACATCTCAGAGCTACTGATAGAAACCAGAACTTTCTAGTTGAAGCAGAGCTTGTGGCCTAGAACCCTTCCCACTGAGCTCTCATCGGACTTCCTCACCCTAAATCCCTACAGAGGTTTCTGGAAACTTCGATGCTGTGGGATACTGAGAGCTTCTAAAAACAGTTTTCAAAGCTGTTGTTTCTTAGGGACCTTGGTGTAGTAATCTGCAGCTGTCAATAAGGCCAGTGGAATCATGAGGACCTTCAGTAGAGGTGCTGGAAATAGTGTTAATAGACTCTTTTCTGAAACTGTTTGATATAGTTTAGTGACTGTCCTTCAAGAATGACAAAGTATTACTGGGAGAGAGGGACTGAAATAATAGGAGATGAGGTCCAACTAAAAGTATATAACTTGTAATTTTTTAAACCTGGATAAAGGCAAATGAAAACGATTATGCCTCCAAAACCATTATATATTGGTGAACTCAAATTTATTCACAGATATTGTGTGTTGAAAGTACCCAAAGCTTAGATGCATTAAAGCAAGAAATAAGAGCAGTTATTCCTGTTATGCAGCAGTACTTAGTGGAAACCAAAAGTGAAATTATGATATACTTTGAATGCAAGTCTGTAAGATTGTTTAAATTTATAAATACTTTTCTGTAGACAAACCTGAGATGGAAGGAATTGTAGTGAATCTGTAATATAGCTTTGACAGTTTATAAAGAAACCACCTTAAAAGCCTTGCCTCAGGTTACACAGAAAGTGATAAAGCAGTGGTGAAAGACTTAGGATTTCTTAATCTAGAAAATTGGGATACTGGGACGCAAACTCAGGACCTTGCACTTGTGAGCCAGGTGCCAGCACCACTGAGCTAAATCCCCAACCCCAGGAGATTTTTATCTTGATACTCAACATATATTTTCATTTACACATGTAGGCGTTTCATTTCTAAAATTCTGTTGTGTAATAGGAACTATTGTTGTCTACGTTTTAAATTTAAGAAAGTAATACTTAGTCGCTGCTGTTACACTGCATGGCATAGCTAGATATCAACCAACCGACCTGACTTCCAACCCTGTGCCCTTATTACTTACTACCTTGTGCTACAGGCACCCTACCCTTAGTAGCTGTATAACCTTTTATAAGGCGCTTGGTATTGGGCACACAAAACCACCAAATAGATCATTTTGATTAACAACAACATGTCACTTTTGCAGATAAACGTGGCATTGGCTAGCTGGACATGGTGGCACATGCTTTTAATCCCAGCTACTCAGGAGGCTGAGGCAGGAGGATGACAAGTTTGAGGCGAGCCTTGACAATTTAGAAACCCTCTAAAATTTTAAAATATGGGCTATGGGTGTAGCTCAGGCGTAAAGCATTTGCTTAGCATGCATGAATCTCTAGTACTACCAAAAAATAAAAAAATAAAAAGTTTTAAAAAGAAATTGATAAAAGAATTTCCCTAGTACTACCCAAAATGTTTTTAAAAAAGTTTTAAAAAGGAATTGATAAAAGAATTATTGGGCACACAAAACCACCAAATAGATCATTTTGATTAACAACAACATGTCACTTTTGCAGATAAACGTGGCATTGGCTAGCTGGACATGGTGGCACATGCTTTTAATCCCAGCTACTCAGGAGGCTGAGGCAGGAGGATGACAAGTTTGAGGCGAGCCTTGACAATTTAGAAACCCTCTAAAATTTTAAAATATGGGCTATGGGTGTAGCTCAGGCGTAAAGCATTTGCTTAGCATGCATGAATCTCTAGTACTACCAAAAAATAAAAAAATAAAAAGTTTTAAAAAGGAATTGATAAAAGAATTTTAAGAAAATTTATCTGTGATTTAAGAAGCACAAGGATGAAAAAAAAATACAGAGCTCATAAGTGGAGGCTAAAAGGTTATATAAGATAAATAATGTGGACCCTGAGGTAGGATAGTAGTAATGGGAAGCAAAAGCAGTGAGATATAAGAGATGCTGTAGAAGACAGCAGTTAGTTATGGAGGGAAGAGTTGATGGTGGCTGCTCATTAAAAGAAACATGGATCGGGCTGGGGATTTAGCTCAGTGGCTCCACTACCTGCCTCGCAAGCACAAGGACCCGGGTTCAGTCCCTGGTACGAAAAAAAGAAACCTGGATGCTAAGCTGGAGAGCTTTGTTAAATTAAAAGTTTCTTACATAATGTATTATGGGTTACTCTACGTAATAACTTTTTCATTGGCTCACCTGTCATATAAAAATATAAATTTACCCTACCTTCCTCTAATTTATAAAGTAAAGTTACATAAAAGCTCTCTGAAGTGTAAACTATGGAGTTCATTATTCTTCTAGTTACTACAGGAGCTAAAAGATAGCCCCTGCCTTCAGTGATTTCATGATCTAATAACCCTTGCCTAATATTTTAGTTTGATAGCTTTATTCTTTTGTAATGATAAAATACTTCATCACTCATGAATGTGACCATTTGAGCTAAATCATGCAGTTCTGAACATGAGCAATATTATCCCCAAGAGGGTCATAAAGATATGCTCTTGAAGGGGTGAAAAAATTACTCTTTTCTTATATAAAGCATTGATATATAGACACAACAAGGTAAACAAGTATGCAACTTATCTGTGGTATTGAAAGTTTTTTTGAAAGGGGCTATTAGGAACAAAAGGGCCCCATGGTGGTAGTGGTGGGGGAGGTGATTTTTTTAAAAGCCCAGAAACCCTGAGCTAAATATTTTGTAATTATAGTTATTGAGGGCTTTTTTTTTTTTTAACATATTTGTAGTACATAATGATCATGTTCCTTGTAGGGACTTGGTACGTGTACACAGTACATCACAATCAAGGACTTTTAAAGAGTAGGAAACCCCTAAGTTCTTTAACCAACTTGTTCAAAATTTAGACCTTTGATAATTAAGATAATTTTCATGTACTTTACATACAGGTATATGTTGTTGGAGGCTACGATGGCCAAAACAGACTTAGCAGTGTAGAGTGTTACGATTTCTTCTCAAATCGATGGACTGAAGTTGCTCCCCTTAAGGAAGCAGTGAGCTCTCCTGCAGTGACCAGCTGTGTGGGCAAATTATTTGTGATTGGTGGAGGGCCAGATGACAATACATGTTCTGATAAGGTAGGCCGTGTTCTCTTAAATCGCCAGCCGTGTGTGCAGATGGGCAAGGAGGGTTTGTGGAGTGTGTACTTAGCTCACTTCATGTGAAGGCATCTTTTATTGACTGGTCTCTTACTCTTTTCAGGGAAACATTGACTTTGGAGTTGCTAAGACCCAACTGTATTTAATAATTTACTGTAACAGTGGGTTAAACCTCTTTGAAAATGAGACTCACCTCAGTATCTAAATTTTACTGCTGGCAACTACAAAATCTCAAATTATTCACACACAGTGCAGTTGGGAAGTGAAGATAAGGCACAATAATTAATATACTGCTTTCAAATGGGTCACTTTCAAAGTATTTTTAGAAGAAAGGAAATCCCTGGAGAGTGAATAAAGGATGGCTCAAAGTGGCTGCAGTTCATTGACCACCTGGGACAAAAGAAAATGCACCCATCTTGATATCTCAGGACAACCATGTTTGTTCCGGGGAAAAGTGCCTAATTGGTTTGGCAGTATTAAGTGAATTTTGTCTGTCACTTATTTTTTCCCAAGTTAAATTTTAATATAGTGTGGTCCAATATTACTTAGAATTTGTGATCACTCAGAGTCTACACGCCAGGCATGGTGGTTCACACCTGCAATCCCAGCGCTCAGAAGGCTGAGGCAGGAGGATCACTGAGAGAGGCCAGGCTGGGCTACGTAGTGAATTCAAGGCAAGCCTGGATTACATAGCAAAACCCTGTCTCAAAAAAGAAAACAAAGTACACGGAATTGAGGTTTGCTTGTGTTCTTCTGAAGAAACAACTCCCTAGAAGTGTAAAGAAATTGTATTCATTCATAGTTATCCTACCCATCCCAGTTTTTTAAAATTTAAACTGTTGCACTCCTATAACCTCAGCACTTAGGAGTTTGAGGCTAAAGAATTACAAGCTTAAGGTGAGCCTGGGCTCTACATTGTGAAAATTTGTTTAATGAAGCTGAGTGTGGTGGTGCACACCTGTAATCCCAGCACTCGGGAGGCTGAGGCAGGAGGATTGCTGTGAGTTAAGAGATCAGCCTGGGCTACATAGTGAGTTCATGACCAACCTGAACTATGGAGGGGGAGACCCTGACTCAAAAACCAAAAAATTAATTAAAGATAAAACATAGACTGTTCATTTTAGTAGAAATAATAAAGCAAACCTTGTAGTCTATCCTGGAAACAGTCTATTTTTGTTACTCTCTTCTGCTTGGTAGTAAATTTGTGTTTCTTTTAAGACGTTTTGTGATTCACACATTTCACTATCAGATTAATTCTGTGTGTTGATGGGATTTGATGTTTTATCATTTTCTGTGTAGCTTTTTAGCCATTTTAATTAAATGTTTCCATATATTACTAGGTTCAATCTTATGATCCAGAAACCAATTCTTGGCTCCTTCGTGCAGCTATCCCAATTGCCAAGAGGTGTATAACAGCTGTGTCCTTAAACAATTTGATCTACGTTGCTGGTGGACTGACCAAAGCAATATACTGTTACGATCCAGTTGAAGACTACTGGATGCATGTACAGAATACATTCAGCCGACAGGTAATTGCATAAAACAATGGAAAAAAAGAAATTTTAAGAGGGACTAAGTACATGATCATTGTTGATTTCACTTCTTAAATATTTTGGATATTGGATTACTCATAATTGTTAAGAGTTCACATAAAACATTGATACTCCTGTTTTGAATTCCTGCTAAGGACTTGTTTTATTGAAATAACTTCCTTTTTACCATCCCAAGGTGAAGTATCATTGCATTTGGCTGCTGCTATTTTTTTCCCTTCAACCTGTTTGAGAGTCCAGTCCTTATTGTCTTGCTCTTTGTTATTACAGAAGAGAAGTGGTTGTTTCTCTAGTTGGAGGCTAGGTCGTTTGTTTTTGTCACAAAGGACACTGTCCAGTCCTTATTGTCTTGCTCTTTGTTATTACAGAAGAGAAGTGGTTGTTTCTCTAGTTGGAGGCTAGGTCATTTGTTTTTGTCACAAAGTTATGCTGAGGTCTCTTCCGTTGACTCCCTCACCCCTGCCATTCCCAAAAGCCCTTCTGAGTCTTTCAGTTCTTGGCTCTGCTGTCTTCCTGCTCCCGTGCTGTTTCTGATACTGGATTATTGTCTTGCTCTTTGTTATTACAGAAGAGAAGTGGTTGTTTCTCTAGTTGGAGGCTAGGTCATTTGTTTTTGTCACAAAGTTATGCTGAGGTCTCTTCCGTTGACTCCCTCACCCCTGCCATTCCCAAAAGCCCTTCTGAGTCTTTCAGTTCTTGGCTCTGCTGTCTTCCTGCTCCCGTGCTGTTTCTGATACTGGATATCTGCTCTACTCAGACCACTGTAAAAATGCTGTATTCTCACTGGATACTACTAGTAATCTCTTCAATCTCTTTCATATTTTCCCTAATCAATCCTTAAATATGAGTTTGTTTGAGTCTCTTTCCCCTGATCTCTTCCTAGTTTATACCCTACTTCCGAATGATTTCATCTACTACTCAGTACCAGGGACTTCAAGTCTTCTTTTTTTGTTTGTTTTTTCTTTTTATAACTGGGATCAACTCAGGACCTTGCACTTGCGAGCCAAATGCAGCACCATTGAGCTAAATCCCCAGCCCCAGGACTGCAAGTCTTTATCTCCATCATGTCTCTCTCCTCTGACCCAAAGTCCAGTCTCCAGCTGCCTGTTTGCTATTTTCCATGGATACTGGAAGACTTCAGACTTAAAATAGAGCTCTTCCACATCTTTTTTCTGTCCCCAGACAACCTAGAAACTTAATTTTATTAGATTTTCCTCATTTTCTCTTGAATTGAATTCTGGTTTTAGTTCAGTATCCTCAGTTTCTGATATTTTTTCCATTCATATTATTCCTACTGTTGTGCATGTTCTTAACCTAAACAGAGACAATAATATTCTAATTAGTTTTCCTCGCTCTAATGCCTCACTTTTCTGAACCATTTTGCCACCAATTATTTTCTACCAGATCTAATTGTGTCTCTCTTGTTGGAAACCTGCTAAACAAAGTCTTCATTCCAAACCTTCTATTTTCTTTTTTTTGGAAAACATCTATTGGTACATTTTCATACACATACTGATAAAATTCATCTTCAGGAATTTGTTCCTGTACTTGATATATCTTGCTTCTTTATTCCCCTCCGCCTTTGACTCTTTTCTCCTTATTTACAAAAGCTTTGTTTACATTTTTTCCTTCTATTTATTTTTCTTGTCCCTTCTTTCCTTTCTCCCCTCCCCCTCAGTTGTTCCCTTTTTCATTTGAATATTTGTGTCCCATTTTCCAGTATCTGTTACACATTTTGGTCCTCATTTCCACGTTTAGTTTCTTACACCAGAGAAACAATGTGATATTTAAACATGTGTATCCGTTTATCTAACTTAAGAGTATGGTCTCAAAATGTATCCATTTATCTAGAAATTAGACCTTCTGTTTTCTGAATTTTATTCCCTTTCAGCTTCACTTGCTATGACTTTGCCCCATTTACATGAAAGGTGTGTTTTGTGTGTTCTCCAAATAGATCATATATGTTCTTGGCTTGGTTCATGCTGTACTCTTAGCTTCTAATGCCTTTTTTCTTTCTCTGCTTGAAATTCTACTCATCTTTCAAGGACCACTTCATAGTTCCAAAACACTGAGGTTACCTTGACTAGAACTGACCTCTTTTCCTTTTGCAGTTACAGCACTCGTATTTCTATTATTGCAAACATATATTCCTTTATGGGTATAAATATTTATTTCCCATACTGGAAATCAGTTTGCTTGAGGTCACTGTTTATCCTAACTTCTCTCTATGTGTGTGCAGTGCTCAGTAAATACTAAGTAATAAGGAAGTGAGGCAAATAAGGGACCTAATCTCAAGATAATTTTAATCTCCTCTAAATCCCCTTTCCTCGTTTTTATTCTTGTTGATATTATTAAATTTGTCTCATGTTTATGGCATACGATGTTTAAACACTCATTGAAGTTACCAGGTTCCTGTACCTGGCATATCTTTATTTTGCTTATTTCCCTTTCCCTTCCCTGCTCCTCTGACCCACATTCTCTTGGATCCCTTCCCATTTTCAAGAGACCCATTCCCTTGTCTCCTTCTAGCCGTCCTTTATTGTGCTCTTCGTTTGCACTTTACCTCATTCAAATGAGATACTATACAGTATTTAAGCTTATGTGCGTGATTTATTTCACTCAACATATTTTCCAGGTGCATCCATTTCCCTATAAATGTCTCAGATCTGTCCTCCTTTATAGCCAAGTAATATTTCATTGTGCAGGCTGCTTTTGGGATTTAGCTATTACAAACTATGCTGCTGTAGACATTGGTATCCACTTACTACTGTAGTAAGATGTCTTAAGCTCTTTGGGGAAGATGTCTAGAATGGGAATAGCTGGGTCATGTGGAATTTCTAATTTTAGTTCTTTGAAGAATTTCAGTACTGATTTTCCTAATGGTTATTCTAGTTTACATTCCCACCAACAGTGTAGGAAGGTTCCTTTTTCTCCACAGTCACGCCAGCATTCCTTTTTTATCTTGATGATTGCCACTCCTTCTGGTATAAGATGGACTCTCAGTGTTGTTTTAATTTGCCATTCTGTAATGGCTAGGGATGTTGAACATGTTTTCATATACTTGTTGGCCAGTTACGTTTCTTCCTCTGAGAAGTATCTGTTCACTTTATTTGCCCAATTCTTCACTTCTTTGAATACAAAATAATTCTTTTTACAATATTAGGATCACGTTTTTAGTTTTCAAAAATAACAGTAAAAGCTATTTTGAGTTCCCACAATATCCCACACTTTCTCAGATACACCATGTACCTTTATTTTTGCTTTTACCCTTTTTCTTTTTCTTTGACCCAAGTTCACTCCAATACCTATTTATCCCACACTTTTCAAAGAAACTTTTGGCACTATTAAAAATAACAATAATAATAATAATAAAAGCCAGGTATGGTAGCACATACCATTAATCCTTCAAGCCCAGCCTGGGATACATAGTGAGTTCAAGGCCAGCCTTAACTGCATGGCGAGACCCTGTCTGAAAAAACATCACACAACAACTTCATGCTTTGAGTCAGGCGTGGTGGCGCACACCTATAATCCCAGCACTCAGGAGACTGAAGAGAAGGATCACTGTGAGTTGAGACCAGCCTGGGCTACATGGTGAATTCCAGGTCAGTCTCAACTACATAGTGAGACCTTGTCTCAAAAAAACCAAAACAAAACAAAAAAAAAACTTCATACTTTGATCAGTTATTTTTCCCACTAGCTGCCCTTACTTCTGAGTGAAGACTGTTTCATATACTACAATTACTCATCAAGTATTTTATGTAGAGTAATCTAGTCGAAGTAATTTCCTGCTATGAATTGTTTTCAGGATTGCTTGCTTCATTTTATTCTGAACATTATTATCTGAAATGTTATTAATAACCAGATTGTGTACTTATATATTCTTTTAGATAGGGTATCTTCAAAATAACCATAAGGTTTAGTAGTGGGACATAGCTTGTGCCTAGAAATTAAGGATATTTTTGTTGGTGGTGGTGGGTTTTAGAATTCGTAGAAAGGGGCCGTGGATTTAGCTCAGTGGTTCTGATGCCTGTCTCACAAGGGCAAGGATCCAGGTTTGATCCCTGTACCAAAAAAATAGAATTCATAGAAGTCATTGTGCTTTAGACGATAAATAGTGTAGTTTGGCCCATGATTGGGGCAGTTCATAGCTGTGGTATTCTGGATGAAAATGCTGTTCACTGATGAGAATGAGCTAAATCATTTTGGGTATATATAATCTCCAATAGACATCTTTAAGCAAACTAATTCTTTCAGACCTGACGATAGTATAAGACCAGGGCTGGCGGATTTAGCTCGGTGGCACTGCACCTGCCTCACAAGCACAAGGTCCTGAGTTCAATCCCTGGTTAAAAAAAAGACCTCTAGGTAATAACAATGTTTTGTTCATTTGATTATAACTCTTTCATTCAACTTGTCAGTGATCCTCTAAAATGAATAATGATCCTGCTCCTTGATCATACAGCAGTTACTTTCTATAAGAAAGAACCTTCTGTAGTAGAAGCAAGTCAGGCTCTATAAAGACGTTTTTAATTACCATTGAGTCAAAACTTTCCTGAGTCTATCGCTCCCACCTGCCTCCTGCAGCATGGCCTCTGTTACTAACATAATTTATTTGAATGCTCACTTGATTCCTGCAGAATTACTCAGCACTCGCACACAGGACAGGAGTTGACCTATCGAGAGCTCAGCTTGTGTCAGCCCTGCCCCCCATGTTAGTATATGTGCAGCCAAAGCGAGCACATTTGCCTGTGTTAGACCACGTCTTATTTTACTCTTTTGTATTTGGTTAAACAGGAGAACTGTGGTATGTCAGTATGCAATGGTAAAATATATATCCTGGGTGGAAGACGGGAAAATGGAGAGGCCACAGACACTATTCTCTGTTATGATCCTGCGACGAGTATCATCACGGGTGTGGCCGCGATGCCCCGGCCTGTGTCCTATCATGGCTGCGTGACTATTCACAGATTCAATGAGAAGGGCTTTAAGCTCTGAAGCCAGGCTACCTCACCAAGGAGCCGTGCCGAGATGAGACGCTTCAAAACTCCAGACTGGGAACTTACCTCCTTTGTGCCCTATGCAAAAACAGTAAAAACAGTGATCCTGGTGCCTTTCTCCCAGAAATGTCAATCTTGTAAACTGTAATAAAGCCTTTCCTATGATTGAAAAACGATGTTTGTTGTTAAGGGTAATAGCGGTTGCTGCTTGCCTTTGGGAGTGTATCTTTGTAAATATCTGTAAGAAGCCTGTGTGGGGTAGGAAATAATATCTGTGTACTTTTAGGGATCTGTGAATGGGCTCTTCATTTATGTATCTTTAGCTGCAAAATGTACTTTATCATATGTAGAGAAAACTGCATGACTGAAGCTTAGTATAGGTTGACTCACCTAATGCTAAGAACACTTAGATTGCATTCTGCGAAGGAAAAGTTTTCAAAATCTTTGTCACTGACATAGAATATCCAAATTGGTTAATTTTTTTGAAAGTTTTTTCCTGTAATTGATAAAAATGTAAAATGACAATTTTAGTGTCATAAAATACTGAACTATTGTGACTTCATTCTTACACTTGCTGTCTCACATGAAACACATTTTTGTGGGGAAGGTAGGAAATAAAAAAGTGAATGTCCATAAAAGAGGGATTAAAAATACAGGTGAATTCCTAAGAAAAAATAACTATTAAAGAAATATTGTGACCTACAGTGACTCTCCAAGTGGCTGTATATCGAAATAAGTCCTCTAAGGAAGTTTTGTTCCTTGATCTTGACAAGGGAGTTGAGTCCATTTTGCAGTGTGGTCTTGTGAGAAGCAGCGACAAGCATCCCCAGCCCAGCAGGGTTTGGCCTGGTTATTGAAGCGCTGTGGGGGGAGACTTCTTCCTTGTTATTCACTGTCCTGTGAACAGCTGGAAGTTCTGAGAATCTCGTTAGGGTGCCTTTCAGAGGGACCATATATCTCAGTGGTCCGTTTTTCTTTTATATTTAACTATCTGGAAAGAAAGAACAGTCGTTCCAGTATTCTAAGTTACATCTCTCACTTGGTACCTGTGTGTCAAATATCAGTCAGCACTTTCAGGTTCCCATAAGACAAACTGCTTTCACTTACGTTTCTCAGCTCCAGTTTATAAAGCTTAGCAGTTTTCTGAAAGCAATGTAGAAGTTTTTCTAAGGCAGACAGAGGGATATGGAAGGAACTACAGCATAAATAATTACAGTGTCCTGGGTAGACAGATACAATCTTCGGCATCTTAGGGCTGCACCAGGTAGCCTGCTGTCTTCACTTTCCGGTGCCTGTGTCTCTCACGTGATAACTGTATATCCTCTGTCGTGGTAGGGGTGTTGCAGATAACGTGGTTACAGTGTCACCAGCTTTCTGTTAAAACTAAGGTAGTAATCGAAACCTAACATTGCTAAACTTTTTTTCCCTCATTTTAGAAATTTCAAATAGATAAATTCCATTGCTTAGCTAGAATCTAAATTCTGGGAGGAAAAAACTAAAACCTACATCTTTGGGGAATTTTTATTCTTTAAGTCATAATTTTAAAATGACACATAACTCTCAACTTCAATCAAAGCAATTCAGAAAACAGGTATATGTCATTTTAGTTTAAAGCTGATTTGTACAATTGATACTTGTAAACAGCTGCATTATACTTTTGTAAATAGTGGAACCTATTTAGTTCAGAAATTCTTTATAGTAAATGAGATAATGTATGAAAAAACTTCTGTGAATGCTTAGGATTATGCAAATGATAGTTGTTATTTTCATGTGTATTTGTAAGGTCATGTCTATCCATATATACAGACTTCACATAAAAAGGCTTTCTCAAGATAACTTTGTATCCTAGTATTTTTGTGTATTACAAAAAATGTTAACTTGTATTTTATTATACATTTATTTTTCATGTCCATGTGTTGTAAATTTGAAATGAAATTCTCAAAACCAGAATTTGTTTAAACATTAACCTCATACCAATATTGTTTTAATTTTTTTCCTCTACATAAAATTGAATAGTTGTAATTTGTGTTGAAGGCCACCAAGGACTCATCTTAAAGCCTAAAAAATTATTTTTGAAGTTACTGAACTGATATTTTAACTTGAGTTAAGAAAGATCATTTACTGTCGGGTGTGGTGGTGCACACCTATAATTCTATCACTCCAGAAACTCAGGCAGGCAGGTTGCCCAAGTTCAAGGCCAGCCTGGGCTACATAGTAAGACCCTGTCTCAAAAAAACAAAACCAAAAGGAAAGAGCCCACTAATTCATAATAAATAATGCCATTATCCTTGATAAAATAAGATAGAACCTTCCTTGGGGGAAAGGGATATGCCAAGAAAATTGGTTTCAGGTCACATTCATCCGTCACCCCGCAGTTGACAGGTTTTCTTTTGATAGGTGAAGTTCATACGAGCCTCTGGGTTAGTATATATGTATATACGTGTGCGTATATGTAGATAGCATGGTTGTGAACACACATACATACAAACATCAGGAACCTTTGCAGTTTGTGATGATCAGAAAAAACAGTAAAAAAATTGTTGATTATATTAAATTCAATTCCAGAATTTTTAATTGAGTATTTCTGTAGTACTTTTTGTATTTGAAAGTACAAATGAGCGTTGGTGCCACACACCAAGTAATCCCAGTGCTTGGGAGGCTGAGGCATGAGGATCGCCACAATTTTGAGGCCAGCCTGAACTACATAAGACGCTGTCTCAAAAAAAACAATACAAGATGAGCGTTAGTAACAATGACTTCTATACTATGAGAGTCTCTATAGCACACCAGTTTTGCAAGATCAGAAAACAAATCAGCAGTAGTGATGAGTTTGCTGACCTAGCTGTGATGCCTCAGTGGGAAAGGACATTGAGAGTATGCTTTACAGATCAACAGAAAAGTACAGCTGTGTGTGTGTTTCATGAACTTCAGTCCTGTTCTGTGTTCTCCAATATGTTATGTGAGTAACAGTGATCTAACTGCCTCTTCTGTGATATGGCTCCTGCTGTACTGCGCAGGTAGGAAATGGTAGCCTGTTGGACCTTCAGTAACCATTTTTTCCTAGATGACAAACATAGGTTTTTACTCCATTTAAACCAAGTTAAGATGATAAATACTCAGGGAGGGTATGAACTTGTCACTGTTGCCTATTGGGGGTGTTTAACGTGCTGTAACGTTCAGTTGATGATAAAATTTAATTTGGTAAAGGGGCTTCACGCATGGCAGTAGTTGAACATCTTTTTGTACCTAGAAAGATGAAAATGTTTTGTGAGCTGATACATTTTCTCAGTGAATATGAATTGTTTATCTCTCTCATATAACCCTTTTTCAAACTCAGGAAGACAAAGGTTCAATGATACCACTTTTGTCAGTATGTAAAACAGGTGTGTTTCTCCTGTTACCTGGGTATGGCAATAGATTTTAAAAATACTGTGAGAACCGACACAGGACAGCAGAGGGGTTGAGCTGTGTGTGTCTTGTATGTCATGAGGTTTATATGTGGAAAAGACATCTCCAGACTGTTTTCAAAAAGGAGAGCTTGCTGTTTACATGTTGCAGAGTGGTGAGACACTCTCCTAGAAGGCGTCCTATGGACTGCCTTTATTTTAGTAAACTCAAAACAATAGTTAACCTCCACATAATTTTGGCCTTACTAGAATTTGTTGTACATTATGTTGAAAGCCAGTTTTACTTCACCTCTCCATGTTTTATTTTGGGTTTTTTTTGTTGTTGTTTTGTTTTTTGGTTCCAGGGATTGAACTCAGGATCTTGTGCTTGTGAGTCAGGCAGTGGCCCTACTTTTCTTAAGTAAGTAAATTCACCATGCCAAGTAACCAGAAGGGGTCAGTTCAGTTGATCGATAAGGCGGTAGAGTTGAGCAGTTAGCTATTCCTGTTGTCATGCCCAGTGGTAGGCACCGGAAACGACTTGAGCCAAGAGAATGAACTGTTAATTCCAGAGAAATTTCCCACACACTTTAGACATTTATGAATGTTTTACATTTGTGTGATTGCCTTAGATATTAAATTTACATAGTACTAAGGATAATGATCTTTTTTTAAAAGTCATATTTTATGTATTCCAAAGAAAAGATTTTGTTTTAGTGTTTTCAAAGTAACTGCATCTGAGTTTACGTGACTTCAATTACCAGTGCTATTTTAGGTTCTCAATCTAAATAAATCTAACCTTAGGTAAGTTTCATGTTTGTTTCCTGTAAAGACAGTGAGCTCCCCCTTAAATGTTTTAATGAACACCAGCGGTGTGGTTGCTTGGTGGAATGCTAATGTTAAGAGAGGCTGTTGTGTGCTTGGAGGTTTATTATATTTTTCATTTTTACTTTTTGATACCCAGGTGCTTTTTTAATTATTCAGGAAGCTGGGGATTCAGCTCAGTGGTTCCACTGCCTGCCTTGCAAGTGCAAGGACATGAGTTCGATCCCTGGTACCAAAAATATATATAAATATAAATAAAATTATTCAGGTAACACTGATCTTAAATTGAAAGCCCTTGCAAAAGCCATTTGTAATACTTACATGTAGTGCTGAAAAGTTTATCTACTTACTTTCATTCTGTTCTTACGTGCTGTTTTCTTTTCTCCTGTGCAAGCTTTTTCTTTAACTTTCTTGAAAAGGCATTTATTGCTCTCTTTCCCATCATCCCTCCCTGCAGTTTATTTAAACTTCTATTGCGAGCTTCCGGAGCTATCTAAGACAACCCAGCTTTAGAGTTGAACAAAATCTGCTTTACAACTAGTACATCCTGGGCAACCAAGTGCCATTTGCTTTCCATAAGAGGCTCCAAAGTCTACATAGTGAAAAAATAAAAATTTGTGTTTCATCATTCTCAATTCGATTGTAGCACGTTAATACCTGTTTTGTTTAAGCTTCTTGCGTAGTTTAAATTCATGTAAGTTAAAATGTCTTTTTAACCATTGTTACTTGATTGTATGGTTGTATTAAATTTTATTTACCAAAAAAGTTGTTGTTTTTATTTTTATTAAGTAGTTGTACCAAAAAAAAAAAAAAGATAGGAGAAAGTATATACAGTATTAGCATATGTGTGCATGTTCTGGGTGTGACCTGTAAAAAACTAGGAACCTGAGTGTTAATGAGGAAAGGAAATGGTGGCTGAAAGACAGGTATGCTAAGGTTTGTCCCAGAAAGCTTAGTACACTGTGAGTGTGGTCCTCAGCCTTGTGTTGAGGAGAGAGCTTTTATTGTGGAGTCCAGCAGACAGTGGCTAGTGAAAGGAGAAGTCCGAAGGACATCTTCGCATGGTCCCAACCGTTCCATTCCAGACAGGAAGCCCTCAGCTCCAGAAGAAAACGGCCCAGCAACCACTGAGACAGGTGACTGGGCCCAGAATAGTTCCCAGCTTCCTCTTAGGAACCCCTTAGTCTGAGAGCTGCTGTGCTGGCCCTTTGGAGCCAGCGGCCCCTCTCAGGGCTTTATCTCAAACCTGTCCTCGCTGCAGATCTGTCTCCACTTCATTCTTACAGGTGGTGCCTGGAGGCCCTGCCCTTGGAAGGGACTGACCCCGGCCAGAGGAGGGGGTTAGGTCTCATGAGTGGGTTCTCTGTTCTTGCCATGGTGCTGTCTCCACATTGAGAGGTGGGCAGAAGGGGCTTCATAGGAGATGTGCACATGCATGTGCTGCCCTCTCTAAACTGAGCTAAACAACCCACTTTTTTGTATAAATTATCCAGCCTATTCTGTTACAGCAATACAAAGTAGACTAAGCTAAAGGGAACTTAACTGCATATATACTTAAATCTATATTAAGCCAACCTTTTAGTCTGAACTACATGAAAGCATTAACTCTTCCAAAATTTTAATTACAAAACCAGTCACGATGACGCACACCTATAATCCCAGCCCTTGAGAGGCTAAGGCAGGAGGACCATGTGGGATTTGAGGGCCAGCCTGAATTATATCGCAAGACCTTGTCCCAAAAAAATGAAAGATTTTAATTACAGAAAATAATTCACAACCGTTACACTCTAGTTCTTTAAATTTGGTTCTTGTGGGGCGGGGGTGTTGGGATAGGGTCTGGCTGTGCATCCTGGGCTGGCCTCAAATACACCAGTCCTAGCCGGGCATGGTGGCACATGCCTGTAATCCCAGCACTTGGGAGGCTGAGGCAGGAGGATCACTGTGAGTTTGAGGCTAGCCTGGACTACATAGTGAGTTCCAGGTCAGTCTCAACTACATAATGAGACCCTGTCTCAAAAAATCAAAAAACCAAAGAAAAACACACCAGTCCTCCTTCCTCAGCCTCTGAAGTGTTGGGATTACAGGCGTGCGCTACCACCTGGCTTGAATTTGGTTCTTGAAAGTTCTTTAGAGTAAAATCAAGGCTAAAGGACTGAATATTTCAAATACATTTGGAGCAAAAAGGGAAAAGCATAATGTTATTTACTGGAGAGGCAGCATCAGATATCAAAGAGAAGACAGTGTCACCCCTTACTGGCAAGGCATTACCTGAATTAGTGTAAGAATCTTCGAGAAGATAAAAATATAGAAACATACCCACATTTAGCTTTTTATGCTTAGTATTAGAGTTCTACCATTAAAGGAAAATAGCAAGTTAAAGTCCTTTTAAGTAGCAAGTGTTAAAGTCACCTTCCTTTGGCTTAATGCTCATGTAGCCACATCTGCGAGTGCACGGCTTTCATCGGTCCTGATACCAACCACTGATGACCCCAGAGCCATTACCTACCTGAGTCTTCTCCCTCTGCTAAGAAGTCAACTGTAACAGCAGCTGCTTTGAGGAGACCGGATGATGCAACACGTGTTCAAGAATACGCAGTTCTGACACACAAGGGCTGCCGGGAATGTTGCTAGTTCAGAACAGCCATGCAATGTGCAGAAGCAGGGAAGATGTTCAAAGCATGCACCAAGCCAGGCACAGAGGCGCATACCTATAGTTCCAACACTGGGAAGCTGAGGCAGGAGGAGAGCAGGTTCCAGCCCACCCCTGGGCAATTTAGAGACTTATCAAGATGTATCTCGGAATATAAAGTGGGTGGGGCGGAGGACCTAGCTCAGTGTGAAGGCCCTGGGTTCAGTCCCCCGTTTGGGGCAAGGGATGGATACATTAGTTTACATTTGGAAAACTGTAACGGTGAGTAAACAGAAACCGCGTGTATTTTAATTTAAATGTTCTTTTTTAAAACTCACTTGCTCAATGAAATGCAGGGGAAATGGGCATCTTAAATTGACATTATAAAGCCTGCAGCTTCTTGCTACTTATTAACTGGTAATGGAAACAAAGTCAGAAGGGATAGTCTCCTTGAAGACTAGCAAGAAGACGTCTATTGAGTTTATATTTTATATACTTAGTGATTTGCAACATCTTTGCAGGGGCTGACAGGCTGGGAAGACTGCCTCTCTGGAGCTTGCTACTTCTAGACAAAACGGTATCCAATTCATGGTGAGCCTGCATTTTACATACAAATCAACAAATCCCACTTCGTGCCCCCAGCCACTTTATCTGATTCTTACACCTCCAGCCATTATTCCCCTGCACTAGTTCACCCTAGCGCCAAGCTCCAGGCAGCTAGGGACGGCACGCATTCCTCACTCAGCACGTACCATAATTACTCCACCCAGCTGGTCCTCGACTGTCTGCCCTCATCTGCCTTGCTTTTCCAAAGGAAACCCAGTACAGACAGTGGCCTGTCTCTCTGCCCTGCTCCTTCCTACCTCCTGACACACTGGCCCTTACTCCTGTGGCCCTGTGTGGACATCTGTCATTATACGGAAACTGAATAGCAATTTTTCTCCACTCTGGTATTGAGGGGATTGAACACAAGGCCTTGGGCATGCTAAGTGGGCATTTGTGGGAGCCCGCTGGTATTTGACATTGGAAAAGTAACTTCTACCATTTGGGCATTCAACCACCAAGCTACATTCCCAGCCTCTAGTACTTTTTTTTCTATTGTTTGTTGTGGGTGGGGGGCAGGTCTCACCATGACTGCCTCATCCTCTGAGTAGCTGGGACTACAGGTACACACACAACCTGTGCAGTCAGGGCGGAGGGTCAACTTGATTGGCTTTGGGATCTGCCAGGGTGAAGCACATGTCTGGGTGTGTCTGGGTGGGCTGGGAAGGCATGGCTTTGGGATCTATGTAGGGTCCTTGGCCCCTGCCTCTCTGGACCGTTCCCCTCCTCTGCCTCCCAATTTCCATGAACTGAGCATCTTTGTTCTGCCATACCCTTCAGCCTTGTGTCTGCCTTGGAGCCAGCTCACCGTGGGCTGAATCCCTGAAAACTGAGCCAATCCAAGCACGGCAGCACAGACACTTGGGAGGCTGAAAGTGCATGAGAGTTGTGCTCCAGCACAGAAGCAAATCTCTAAATTGAGATGATTTTCAAGATGAACTCTGAGTGATCTTTGTTCCCAAGACTAAGGATTGGAAGGCACCTTGCTTGTCATTCACTAATTCAAAGGCTAGAGTGAGATTTTATGATGCAAAACTTGTGAAGATTATCGCTTAAATGGAAAATACCATAAACACACAGGAAGTACTGTATTTGAGGGTTCTTCCTAGTTTCATGGTAAAAATTTACCCTAGGTTTGACTCAAGTGAAATAAAAATGAGTCCAAGGTACAAATCCTTTTTCTGATGACTCTGTGGAGCTATCTAGAATGAATACAGTTGAGGGAAGTAGTTCTAATATAAAGTCTCCATTCTCAAACTGTGCCATTTTAACCACTTAATGGCTAACCCTGAGTATCCCTCCGGTAGCACTTTCGTTGTTGCTATTGTGAGCAGGTGTCATTTCAACCAGTTGATTCTTGTATTGAATAAATGATAAAAGTGTTGCTGAGCGTGGTGGTGCACGCCTGTAACCCCAGCACTCGGGAGGATGAAGCAGGAGGATTATTGTGAGTTCGAGACCAGCCTGAGCTACATAGTGAGTTCCAGGTCAGTCTCACTACATAGTGAGACCCTGTCTCAAAAAAACAAAACAAAAAAATGATAAAAGTGCTGTTTTTATATTTCCTGTTATAAAAATTGAGTCATCCAGTATTTAAATAATTGGACTGGTAAACGGTTAATTGAAGAAAAGACAAAGTCCCAATACATTAAAGGGAAATTAACGCTGAATTTCTGTTAGTGAAGGACCAGCTCCTGCCCGGGTCAGCCTACCAGCCCATCTTCATGGAGAATCAAGAATTAACCTTGACTGGGCACGGTGGCACACGCCTAATCTCACTCCTCCAGAGGCTGAAGCAGGAGGATCACAAGTCTGAGGTCAGCCTGGACTGCACAGTGAGTTCCAGGCCAGCCTGAACTACATAGCAAAACCTTGTCTCAGAAAAATAAAACAACAACAACAAAAACAAAACAAAACAAAAAACTGTGATCCAAATTAAACCTCTCCTCCTTTGAATTGTGGGTGTCAAGTATTATGTCTCAGCAACAGGAAATCTGACGAATAAACCACCTTACCCACATAACATTAAACTTCAATAGCATTGTCCCTCCATGTTGTCACTTGGTGACTTTATAAATTAAGCGACTGGTTCATTTTTGTATTATAAAGCATGCTCGGGCCAGGCATGGTATTGCAAGCCTGTAGTCCCAGAACTTGGAAGGCTGAGGCAGGAGAATTGCCACAAGTTCCAGGCCAGTCTGAACTACACAGCCAGACTCTGTCTCAGAAAACAAAACCATGCTCTTCACAGAAGTGCTTCATGTTAGTAAACAGAAGCACCAATTTTAGTATGGTTTTGCCTGTTTAAAAAAATAGACTTTAGGGCTGGGGATATAGCTCAGTGGCACCGCGCCTGCCTGGCAAGCACAAGGACCCTGAATTCGATTCTGGGTACCAGGAAAAAAAAAAAGGACTTTGAGTTAGTTTGATAAGCATAATAGTCCATATTTACTATGACTAAAGTGCAGAAGAGTAATTATCCCC